AAATAGTAAGAAGCTGAACGAACATAATACTTATATTTTTTCTTAAATGCTTTAATTAAATCTTAGCTTATGCGATTATTTTAGCTATATACAGAATTACATAATCTTTCCCTCGCGTACCGAAAAACTTGTATATATTAGTTTAGACAAGTAATAAAGTATAAACGCACAAGAGTAGAGTGACACAGTATATTTGTAACATATGAATTGCGCTTTTATTTTCATTCATCAATATCCATTTTGTCAAGAAACAAAAATTTGTTTAGAAATGAGACTATTGTTACTGTGTTGGTGTCACTGTGGATGTGGGAACTGTGTTTATGCCAGTCAGTTGACTTTGTTCAAAAGCGGGCGTGTAGAAAGGTGTATTCTGTGGCAGACTTGTACTAACGGTAATAGGTGGCATGCCGGGTAGAGAAATTGGTACTGTTACTACTTGAGATTGAGGCGCGTTAAACTGTACTTCGGTCGTTGTCGCACTTTGAATTACATTCTGTACGGTTGTTGGATTGTACAAATCTTTGGATAACTCAACTGCAGGACCAGTTTCACTCGAAATTGTTGTATTAGTTGTGAATGCCGGTAAAGATGGAATAGTAGGCATGCCAGGTATATTTGGCATTGTATTTAGTTGAGGTATAGTATTATTGCCTAAATGTAAATGAAAAAAGATCTTGTTAATTTATTCTAATTTAATTTTTGCAGAAATGTTATATAGTATTGTCTGTTAAAGAAATATTTCTGCAGAAATTATAGATGTCGGAAAGTTGAGCGAGTATATTTTGAAAGACAGATTATAAAACTGTATATATTGCTTGATTAAAAATAATTTACCACTTATAAGATTGATATTTCCTTGATTGGACATCATATGTGATGCAGAAATAGTTGTAGTAGATCCGCCAACAGTAGCTGGATTCAATTGTGGGACAGCATATGTCTGTATGGTTGGTGTATACATGGTTTGTGGTAATGTAGTGGTTTCCAGTTGAGCTTTGGCAGTAATATCTTGTGAAGAAACATAATTAGGTGGAATAGAAAAACCTGGTGGTATATTTGTCACCATATTAGTTCCTCCAGTGTGAGTTGCAGTTGTAGTTGTCACGTGACTTAAAACAGTAGACTTTGCGGTACTCTGGAAAGGATTTTGAATAATGGATGTAGCATTCGTTCATAATTCGCACAATACTTGAAAAATTCATTACATACTGTATACGAGTTACTAGGTTTGTGTTCTTGCATATTTCTAATTGGTATTCTATGAAGATATCCATAGCCTATTCCACAACCCAAGCTGCAAAATTTAAACCTTGTTTACGTAAAATCTAAATTAAAATAAGAAGTTAAAAAACATGTTTACATACCTTCCTTCTCCACCCCAAGTATGGTTAGGTACAATTGTAACTTCTCTACAAGAATCATCTTCTGTGTTATATACATATAAATTTAGGGTACGCGACTCATGTGCCTCTATCAACGTGAACAAATCTTCAGACTCGTGTAAAACTGAATCAGCACCGATAATGTAATCAGTAAATGGTCGTAAACCTGCTAATTCGGCAGGAGAAGATGGATGTACTTCCTATAAACAATAAACACTCCGAATTTACAAAAATGTTATTCGATCTTCTCAGCACTTCTCGCTCATTTTTCTATGATTTATTTACACTTACTGTATACTTACAAGGACATGCCAAACATTTTCATTAGAACCTTCAAAAGAACAAAATCTAACACTAACACCAAGGAGACCCTGTCCACCCCATGTAAGACTTGGTACTATAACACTTTGTCTTACAGATTGAGTTTTACTACTGTACACTGTAAGCGTTAATTTTTTATCTACTCCATTCTTGAGTAGTTCCTTTAAAGTATCATTATCCTGATTCTGTAAAATAAATCAAATGACAAATATACGTTCGTCAATAGCATATCAATTACGTATAAATAAATGAAATGTATTCAGTGTATGTTAAAAATTAAAATACCACACGTAATATCTAAGATAAGTATAAAAATAATAATAAACAGACCAAACGGTAGCTCCCGATGGCTACAATAAAGTCGAAGAATGCTTCAAGGCCAGCTTTCTGTCCAGGAGAGCCTTCTTGTACCTATTTTAATTATACACATTAAATGAAATACTGTAATTGGATATAATTATAATTTATCATTGTACACTTAGTTAATTTGCAAGTGCACTAAAATGCTATTGATTTATTAGGTTCGTTATTCAGCACAGCATAGAGAGAAATGTTAGTTTTTGGAGTAAATCAAAATATTCTGACAAATGTTCTTTACCCTCAGTACATGGTAACCTTCTGTTCCACCTCCAGGTATTTCAATACTGTGGGAGGATCCCATTTTTTATGAGCAGTCCTTAAGTCCCTTGGTTCAAAGAAACAAAAATCATCAAAGCAATTGTCGTCTAAAAATTGATAAATTGAAATACAAAAATATGTAACAGAAACGTTTCACATATACTAGTTGGTGACGTTGCTCATCATATGCAGAGGGTACTGTACGATATGCACACGACTCTTTCAGTGCTACCAATATAGAGAATCCTTTTTATACAAAAAAATGATTATGAATTTAAGATTTAATTTGATTCTGTGCATATGTAACTTAACTTCTTAGGCTTGTAAAATTGGATACATATTTTCGAAAGTTGCATTCAAAAAGGCAATCAGATATTTTGCGAATTGTAAAGAATATTTTTTTTTATAAATTGAAAATGTAGATAATACGCTTTAATATTTATTTAGCCTATAAATATGTAATAACAAATATGATAATATTGTCACAGAAATCTGGTCACAGAAAAGGTACCTGGACCTGTTAAGATGAATATGGTCTATCTTACATTTTATCGATGGTTGTGGCCGCAATTTCAAATCGAAATGTACGCTCTGAAATATGCTTCGCGGCCAATAGTCACACAATATCAGGGTCTATTGACGGACTTGTTTATGCCAGAAAATGAAATAAAGCTGTCGCGAAAACAAAGCGGCAAACAGGTTAAAAGAATTTTAAGTATTCGAATCATCTATTTTCTGTAAGTCAAACTGGAAATGGAAAATAGTGGTGAAAGTGGTGATGATGGAGGACCATTAGGTCCAACCGCTTTCCTTAGTGGAGGCGGTGTTTCTGCATCATATATTAGCGTACAATCAGACGATATGGAAGGTAGATTAATTTTGTTTTGATTGTCTTTACTTTTAATGTAAATAAAAATTCTACGACTTACGTAACATTTATAATATCGTTACACTAATATAGCAGTACAGGTTATATTCAATTGTATTTCGTATAGAGGAAACATAATTTATTAACCTTATAGAAAATTTTGATAAAATTCTACATTAATACTGTATTTTATTGATATCATTGCTTAGTTATACAATCAATTCTTTCTATTTGATTGTTTGTAATTTTTGATACTTACCTTATAATCTATTCATTAATAATACTCCTAGTTGTTTGGAATATGTTAATAAAGGTATAAACAAAATTGTATTTTGTTAAGTAATTTTATGAAGAGAAACAGAAATTAAATTAATACTTCTGTTTAGATGACCCTGAAAACACAGACGATTCTAATCATGGAGCCAGCGACCCGTTGCAAGGAGTTGGTGGTGGTAGCGGTGGAGGTCCACTTCGGGAGCAAGATCGGTTTCTTCCAATAGCAAATGTGGCTAAAATTATGAAAAGAGCCATACCGGAAGCAGGAAAAATAGCCAAAGACGCACGTGAATGTGTTCAAGAATGTGTATCTGAATTCATATCATTCATAACATCCGAAGCAAGTGACAGGTGCCACATGGAAAAACGCAAGACTATCAATGGTGAAGACATTCTATTTGCTATGACAACTCTTGGTTTTGATAATTATGTAGAACCACTGAAAGTGTATCTACAAAAATATAGAGAAGCCACGAAAGGAGATAACCCTCCAGGTACTGGTGCAACAACCGGTAATGGAAAAACAGAACCACAGGGGACTATTTATGAGGATCAGCTGTTTGCTATTGCTGCGACAGGATCCAATGCTACCACTTCTGATACACCTGTTATATACAGTTATACATCCACTGATCAAATGCAGTTTCAACTTTCTTGATCAGTGCAGGTTAAAGTGTGATGCTAATATAAATTATTCTGTGTAACACGCGATTTGACCGTTACATATCGTCAGTGTGCATGATTGCGTTCGTTTTTCTCGTAAAGACTGTGAAATCAATTTTGTGTCAGTGATCGAGAACACATACGAGCATTTTAAGATTTTGAATGGAAGGTGAGAATTAAGATTAAGTGACACCTTGTAAAGAGTATAATTGAATATGGAAGGAAATAAACGAGGAAGCAGTTAAAGGCTTATTGATAATTACTTGTTTACTTTTTCAAACACGGTAGGGGTAGAAAAACGTAGCCGATTGTTTATTTTTCTATTATTTTTAAGCACTAAGATTCGCATCGAACTAGAATTAGGCTGTGATGGTTTTTGTTTGCGAGAACGGTTCAGGCCGAATGGAGATTAGATAAATTCTATATTGGACATGAACCGGCAGTTAATCGGCGTGTTGATTTTCGTAGAAAACGTTCGTAAACGGTGTCTTCACTCTGGTAGTTGGGCAGGAGAGAGCAACAGCTCGTGTGCTTTTGTGGACGATGATGCTGGACCACTTGAACACGCGGCCGATTGTTGATGTGGCTGTTGTTGTTGTTGTTGTTGTTGCTGCTGCGATGGTGACAAAAGTGAGGCGGTAGGCAATGTTCCGGTTGGACGCGCTTCTGTTTTCCTCACTTTCTCCTTCTTGTCGTTAGCGACGTGACAAAACCGCCAACGACATTGGCCACAACGACATAAACAGAGGCAGAGCAGCACCCGAAATAGGCAACACAGTAAACCGGCGCACAGTAGCGAAGGACCCACCAGCCTCAATTCCGGACTGAGGAATCCTTTCTCTCCAGTGCCGACAAACGAGATAACTAATCCGAGCGCTGTGGTTCCCAGCCCCGCATACAGTACGGTATTCACTGCCGCACTCATTTCTCCTCTACGACGGTTTGCATTACTGCTTCCATCTTCTTCGTCATCTTCTCCACTGCTCCCATAGCAATAACTTGCGTCTCTTATCTAAAAACGTGACAGAGTATTTTATTTCCAATTAAACAGAATAATGCAAAGTTTATTCATTTCTGTTTACCTATTTTGTAAAAGATACAGAAAATTGACAAATATTCTTTAAGACTTGTATAATAGGGGCCATATTCCAAACTTTCTTTTAATTTCATTCTTTTGTAGAGAAAAACTTGCATTAATAATACCGTATGCCTTCTTGTGAATTGTATTTAATAAGCATCGAGTTTACCCTGTTCCTCTTCATCCATCGTCGATGAGCTTCGCATTGTTTTGTCTTGTAGCCATCCCCGCGACATCCATGAGGGGACATAGGAGACAAAGGGAGGGGAGAAGGTCTGCTGCATCCTTGCCATGCTGCTTTACCAGGTCCTCCACCACACTGAAATTATTCAACATTGAGGTACTGTTGTTAGATTGACAACAACTCTAATTAGTATTATTCAATCTACTATTCAGAATTTATATTTTAAGTAGTCTAATAAATGTTGAAGATTTTTTCAATGTCTGTTAGTCTAGTATAAATATCAAATATTATCTTAACTATTTTATATACAATATAAGTAAGTAATGAAACATATAAGAGAATTACATTATGATTAAGTAATTTGCATCTTTCTCTATCATTTCTAAACATTTTCTGTTGTCTCTTTCGCTATGTTATTATCCGTTAATTAATTTTTTTTGTTATTTCCTCGTTACTCAGCACATAAATGATAATGTAAAAAACATGCATGCACGTACTAAGTAGAACACAGAAAAATTGGTATACATGTAACCAATCTCAAACACGTATAAACGTTTATACGTACATGTACTGCAGAATTTGTTTACATAAGTACACTGTACTTATTGCAGTCTAATTAACAATAAAAACTTGATTAAACCCACTTTGCGACAGTCGTTTACCTTTGATCATAGAGTACTGTGTAGTGCTCTGTGTTATAGCTTAATTTAGAATTTATTACCAGTAAATTGTTCGACTCAAAGCATACTTTTGAGATGAAAAATCACACGATCATTTGTCATATTTTCTCCAACTTCTTTTCGAGTTCCCTAATCTTTTACCAGGAGATGGATATAAATATACAATGCAAAAAAGAAAAATAGAACATATGAAATATATATATTTTAAAGCACATTTTATACATTCGATTGTATCCAAGTTGTTTTTTTAAATGACCACAGTTTTTGGGTGGAAAAATATTTTATGCATAAGGATATAAAAACACTAACATGTATCATGATAAGACAAAAGAAAAAAGGACAAACACCAAGAGTATATACTACATTATGAATTTCTTTTCTCAAAAGGAGGCACATAAGGTTGATGCAAAGGTAATCAGCTAGGAAAGAATAACAATTACCCACTGATGCCAATAGCTTATCGTTGATGATACAGGACATTGGAATGATTTGATACTTACCCCGTAAACATAAGATCGTGGGGGATATCGTGGAAGCGGCGGAATAAGTCTGGTGGCGAAGTTGGAGGGTAATTCTCTAAAGTTCACCACCTTACCCCCCCGTAACCGTTGCTTCTCCCTTCTAATTAATAAAGCAGCCTGCATTCCGCTCATTCATTTGCCTGTTTTATTGATCGTTAAGATCTCGACCGTCCTTCTCCTCCTCCTCTTTCTCCTTCTCACTTCCTTTACACACGGATACAATTTTCAACTTTTTGTTCCCCTCCTTTGCCCCGTTTGAAAAAAAAATCATAAATCACACGTGTTCCTCCTCAAAGATCTCCCGATCCACCTTGATACCAGGCACTATAACTTACTCCTAACATTGCACTGTCTGCCTTTGGTAATAGTCGATGTACATATGCGCTGATTGGAACCAGTAGAGACATATTAATAACTAAAATTTACAATGAATGGATAACCAGCTGACGAACCTGGGGCTGTTCAAGGATGCGTTACCGCGGGGATTACATACGCCACCAGACAGCCAATCGATGGTGTGTTCCTACTATATAAGTAAAGGTGTGCCAGCAAAGAGTAGGTGCAGAGTGCAACGAGGATTATCAAAATACTTGTACAAGGACTGCACGAAATACATGAAATAGGGTCACCTAGGCAAGAGCGACTAGCACGTGATAGAGAAAGAAGTGAAAGAACAAGAGCTAAAGATAAATAGAGAGAGAGATAGACAGTGAAAGTGTACGGCTATCCTAGAGCAAATTAGTTTACCGGTGAAATTAATCTACCCACCTGTAGCTCCGAAGAAGATGGCGATACTCTGAGATCGAGGATCGATGGTGGCGGGAAAGGGAAGTTGTTGGATTTAGTGGCGCAAGTAACTGAACTAGGTGATTCGAGGGATAACGGCGGCGGTGATATCGGGAATTGGATTGGAGAGACAGGTGTGACCTGCGGAGACTTCTCGACATGACGCCGTCGATCGATGCTCTGATGGAATGCAGATGACGGTGGTTGTGGCTGTGGTGTGGAAGATGGTGGAACAACGTGCGGACGCGCAAACTTGCTCGGGTGGTGGTGGTGTTGGTGTTGGTGTTGGTGTTGGTGTTGATGTTGATGCTGATGTTGATGCTGATGCTGATGTTGGTGGTAGTAGTGCTGAGAAGCTGGAACTGCTGGAACTGTCTTCAGCCGTGAGGGGATCGTACCCTCGGCGACGCGTTTGTTTAGCTGCAACCGTTTCTGCTTCCTCCTGTTCGCTATACTGGCGCCACCCGCAGCTGCGTACATCGCTCCGTGCCCCGATTACACTCTTCCCGGTTTAACGCCTTCGGGCCAGGCGTTCTCTCTGTTACGAGCTTAGGTCCCTTCGCATGGTCTTCCTGTCTTTCTTTTTCTCTGTAAAGGCAAGAAACGTGACGGAAATCCGCCCGCTATCGGCGGCCGTCATTTCTATTCTACCGACTAAGTATTCTAGCGAAAAGCACGTGAAAAGCCTTTTATTTACAGCGTTATTTACATATGCGTACTAGACACACAAGTAGCAGCTATATGCGTATAGGGACACTAGGTCTTACTAACTTATTACTTGTACGAGTAACTCAAGAGTCTATCGTTTATAGTTTTCTCTTCATTTCGTTACAAACGAAAGAATCATCAACGACATCGTACTCAAGTACATCGAACATATTTCTTTTTTTTTTTCTAACGAAAGTGAAGTACTATAGGTTCTGATGAAGGAGAAAATATTGTTACATAATGAAAATTTTTAGTGAATTTTAGAGAGAGGTAACAGTGGTATCGTGTCCCCCGTTATAGTTTCCTTTTGCTTGGGAGACATTAGATATCGACTATTGTATTTAATCGTTGAAGGTAAGCTCCTACCATCGTTTAGTATACATTTTACTGGGATTAGAAATCGAAGTTTTCAATGATAATACAATCCGAGGAAACTTCCGTTGAATTCCTTTTCTGTTTAAAGAAACATTTGAGAAAACACAAGCACTGTTTCAATGTTCTTATTTATAAATCAGGAAACGATAATTAAAAATAAAAATAATTTTACCGATCGCAAACGTGTTCGTAGATTAGAATATTGGTCGGAAAATATTTTCTCTTAATTTTTTTACCTCGTTCGATCAAAGCGTACGCTACGAAGACATCTCTCTGTATTGACATCTTCCCGATTTGCTCCTTGACCCATCGATGGGTCAAGTGGTCCCGACACAAATGTAACAAATCGAAAAACCCACTTCTCCCACTTCATTTTTTGCTGCGACACGTTCCAGTTATCCCTTCCTAGGCCGCCCAATCATTTCCTTTCCTTTTCCCCACTTCTACGTACAGCACTTCATCACGTTTATTTCGGGTATCTTCCGCCTAGCTATCTCTGTCTCATCCAACCCTCCCCACCTTTTCCCTATCGTCTTATACTTCACTCGCATCCTTAACCCTTATAAATTTCCATCGTAAGAGATCAGTGTTTACATAATCGATGCACAACTTAGAGGAAGGGTAAACAAATCGTTTAAATAAAACCTATGCCGTGACGAACCACGGAAATTAAGGTTAAATCAATGGAAATTCAAAGTGGATACTTTTCAGAACATTTTCTACCAGTTTTATACGTTAGTATCGAGAAAAGAAATCACAGTCAGGAGAACTAAAGAACTCGCGCAAAGAAGCAAAGTGGACAGAGCGGTGACCATATCGTGTATCGTCCACAGGCAACGAACACAGAAGCGATTGAACAAGATACAGTAAACTCGTGAATTAAACACAACGTGAAAACCGAGTTGCAAGAATATGAGAACGGTCGGAAAGGCCGCGCGAATTATTATGAAGTTCGGTGTAAACGTCGCTGCTTAGGCGAATCACGGGTGTAGCCGTCCAAAATGCAACACACCGTGACCAGAGGTGGAATGAAACCGTTTTGGTCTCACCCCAAAAAGGCTACCAAATGCAACATTCAAGTCGAGTGTATCTATATCGCTTTCAACGAATATATATTATGTATTGTATATTATATATATATATATATATTATATATATTATATATATATACAATACGTTCATGCAATGGTACGTGCGTGCACGAAGCTAGTAAAATAAAAGGGGATACACAAAGCCAAGTAACGTGAAGTATCAGAAAACGGAAAAAAAAGGAAGGAGTAAAGAAAAAAGACGAAAATACCGACAGGAACTCGCGACGAACAAAGGTACTCAAACAGATAACCTATCCTACGGAGAATCTCCTGAAAAGAAAGGGCGAAATAAAGCGCGTAACAAAAAAGAATAAAAGGCTGGCTGGTGGCCGGCGGGCAACGTCACATTTATTGTTTTCCCTTTCTTTCACTATAATCCGCTCTTTTTCTCTGCTTTTTTCTGCGCTGGGGACACGCGCGTCGACACAGAGAGCAATTTTGTACAATAACGATGTGGACCAACGACGACGACGAGAACGACGACGAAGACGAGAAACAATGAAGGCTACACATTTCGTACTTTCGTTCTCTCCTTCTCTATCTTTCTGTTTCACTCTCTCCCTCCCTTGCATCCACAAAAACACGCACACGCCACGCACCCAGGCACACGATCCCTCTTTTTCTCGCTCATTTCGCATCGCTAGCAACTGCTGCAGCAACGTCGGCGGCGGTTCGACGGCGGCGGCAGCGACAGCAATAGCAAAGCAGGCGTCAATCAAGTCAGCCAGCCAACACCAAAATGCTGCGCGTACCAACGACTCGGGGTAACCAATGCACCGTGTTCGACCTGCCTCTCTCCGATCCCCTCGGTTTGACTACGTGGACGACATTTTCCCGTTCGTTGTGTGCCTTTTCGTTCTGTCCTTTTAAAACCGCGTCGCACTATATATTTTCCGTTCTTTCTCTCTCTCTTTCTCTCTCTCTTTCTCCCTCGGTTCGTTTCCTTCAATTGTCTCGTATCTCCTTCGCGTATCTCCTCTTTTCTTTCTCTTCTCCGTTTTCTTTAGTCACCGCCTGTCGCGATTACAGTCGAAACAAAATAACGGTCACCGTGCGCGGGGGACCAGTAGCCGCGCACACACACCAGTTAGAATCACCGGAGGGGACACACGCACGCACACATAGGGCCGGGGGGGAGTGGGTGGGGAGGGGCACGCGCGCGATGGGGATACGCGGGGCCACGAATCCAGGACACGATCCCCCGTGTGCAGACGGCGCGTATCACTCGCTCGTCGCGATTAACGCAGCCTCCATCGCTAGTCCGCACCTTCGTGGACGCGCCCGTTTCTACCGAGCAACCACCGAGCAACCACCGACTGAGCACCGCCACCGATCGCGCGCGCTGCTACCTCTGCCCTCCAGCTCGCCGATCCGCGCCCTCCCACCCCTCTCCTGTTGCCCTCGCACGCGCGCTACGCCGCTCGATTACGTACAGCAGCGTACAGAGGCTCGCAAAAGTAACCTTACACCCCCCCTCTCTTCCCCACGGAATACCGCTGGCCATAAATTAGACATGTAAATAAAGTTCCAACTACCATATAATACCGCGTATCGCATGGTCGATCGCCAAACATTCGGACCGCTCCAACAATGTGGTCACGCGGATTTCGAATCTTCAATTTTGTTTCACAGTTCTTTCGTTCCACTGGTTCGACTTGTATCGAATGTCTCTTATCAGTCGGATATTAGGTAATTATTTACGGAACGGTCCTCGTCTACGATTCCGATGAAATTGAAATACGTTGACCAGCTCGACACTGTGAACAACTTTTTCCTTTGTAGAGAATGTCGCTCTGCTTTGATTTCCGAGATAATGCGTGTAAGCCTTGAGAAGGATAATCCTTTGAAAATGATTACCCATAATTATTTCTTCAGATTTAATTATTTTTTAATTATTTCTCCACGATCGCATGTGTGTACGTCTAGAGACATATTCAGTCGGTTAGAAACTCGAGATTTGGTATTTATTGGCATTTTATAAATCAGTATTACTAATTGACCGCGGTTTCTTTACTAATGCCAGACGTATCGGCTGCCAGCACTACTTAGAGGATTGCCCCTATTTTAGGCAACCGCGGTCCGACATAGCACTTGCCGCCACTACTTGCGAACAGGCGCCTTATAATAGGCAACCATTGTCTGATGCATCACTTACTAATTCCACTTGTAATACGGGCCCTTTCAACGGGTAAAACCATTGTCCGATGTATCCGCGGGTAGTTCCACTTCGAGATAGTTGCCGTATTTGCAGTATTCGTGACACGTATATTACAAGTTTTATATATCGGTAACGTCATTTTTATAACCGGCGATTACGTTTTACTACTTACGTCGGTTCTAAATAAATACACCCCGAAAGGAAAGTTTTCACACATTCCCTGTTTCGTTCGTACAGATCTACGAACGCTCGATATTAGCAGCAGATGTTCGTACTACAATCAGTCACGCACAATCGGCGTCCGCTCTGTTTCGTTCCATTCTTAACTAAATCGTAACTTCGAACCGTATCGATCGGCTCTACAGTGGAAAAGGAGTTTCAATAGCGAGGCGGGTGCTTAACACTTTCTTCGCACCGGCAAAGATTGCTTTCACCGCCACGGCATGGGAAACTCTGGCTATAGATTCTTTTACGAGGCGTATTTAACCGTGGTCGATTTCCTTACATCGAATCGAAGTACTATAACCAACGTTATCGCCGCCGCGTCTGTTCGAGGAATCATGAAATTTAATAAACGATCATTTTCATAAATATCTCTGTACGGACACGCACGGCATGAAATTCCACGCGAGGTTTCTGCATTAGCACAGTTTCAGGAAATTGCGGAGAAATTCAAATTCTACGAAGCCCCGAAGTAAAAGGAATAGGTTAAAGGTTACTTTTTTTAAAGCAGACCATGAGCTATATCTCGCGCGTCCAGGCTTAACAGTTTGATGGTCAAATAGGACACGTAAGTAGGATAATGCACTTCCGATTCGAAATGTTACATGCAACGTTGCCTCCCCCCGCCCTCTGTCCTTATTTTATGCGCGACGATATAATATTCGATAATATTCATGAACCGCGGGAATCCGGTCCGCGATTGATAGATATAGGACGGTACAGGCACAGGCGTCGAGTGTCGATCGTTGAATAATTCAAATCGTTCGGGATCAAGTAAATTCCGAGTCATCTATCGGAAACAATTGCACTCGTCGTTTCGACGGGCGCACAAAGTGCAGACAACGCGTCCAAACGCGTCCGTGTCCCGTTCGGATGGCATTGAACGTGTACACACGTACACGTTACGTAGAAAATCACACGCGGGGTGGAACCCCTTACAGATTCTAGGGCAACCCGCTTTCGCACTTGCCCTCCCTCGTACCCGCGACCAGGTTACCCTCGCCCTCTCGACTTCCACGAGTCGATATCCCGTGCTGCTTTTGACCTTTCACCTTTCTCCCGTCACCCTGATTCTCCGGCTAAAGGACAACCTGCTTTATCGACTCGTAACGCTCCTGTGAATATTTATTTTCGTTCACGCCGAACTTATTTAACAATAATGGCCGCATTACGGGATTGTCTTTTTTCTGAATTGATTAATAAAGGAACCATTACGACGTTCTTGTGGTATCGTTTATTTCAATGTTGTCCTCACTTATAGTATATTAAACATCTTAATAATGTGCATCGAAGTTCCGTTAATAATAATGCTTATAGCCGACGAAACAAATGGATTTAGATATATGAGAAACGAACGATGAAATCGAACGTTTCTATCTTCGTTTTCTACCACCCATTTTCAGACGCATGTCACGTTTTCCTTTTCCTGCTTTTGGTTTCTTCGCTCCTGTGCTCCTCACTCCCTTTTTGCCTTTCTTTACCTTGCCTTTTGACTTGACAGGTTTCACTCTACAAAGTCAAAATGCGCATTTATATTGTTATATTTCGAAGAAATCGACGAATAGTGAATATTTGTGAACCTACTTTGGAACAGAGAAGTCCTCGCGGAAAATTTTAGCGTTGCTATTGAGGATATTATCCGCTAAATCTTTGTTACGTTTCTTCTCATCTTGTAAATTTCGTGGAGGTGCCTCTGCTTTCCGTTTCATGCCAGGCACTTGCTTTGCAATACCTTTAGCATCCTTTTCTTTTGGTAACCTGGAAATGTTGTGTGTTAACTTTGAAGTGTTACGTACGAATTTGTGGTTAATGCTCTGATCGATACCTATTTTGGAATTTGCCAACAGACGCTGTCGATGTTCGGGCCACTGTGATGGCTTGAGATAGCTGTCGGGAATCAGGGAAATATTCCTTTGTAGGAAGACCTACTTGCGGTACTTTAATATTTCTTGCTTTGGCAATGTTACGAAGTCTTTGTAGTTCGTTCTTGGATTGTCTTTCTACTTTTGCTGCCTTCGCTTTTGCAAATGGATCGTCCATGACCTTACTATCGTCGTTAACTTCAACCAACCAGTCCTTCTGTTCCTCGGCTTTAGTACGTTTGTAACCGAATGTGGGTATCCATTTCTGTAATGATATAAAATCATTATACGCATTTATTAAAAGAAATATATAAATAATTACTACAACAAAAGTTACCTGTAATTCATCATCCCATTTAAGTTTAGACTTATTTTTCTTTTTAGATGTGATGCCTTTTTCCTTGGCAAACTGTTGCCATTTGGTTAACGGTTTTGGTTTCGGAATCTGTCTGGCTCTAGGCAACACATACTTAGGTTTTGGTAATTTTGCCACTATTATCTCCTCGACTCGCTCTATCGGAAGTTCCCAAATTTTATTAATCAATATCTGGACATTATCTCTTGTCAAACTTGTTAAGTATTTTTCCTTCTCGGATCTGTGAATCAATAAGTAATAGCGTAAACAGGAGAACTACAAAACAATGTGTATTGACATGAAAAAAGATAGGTTACTTTAGTGTTTTTATGTTGAGATTATTGTAATCTAATGCTAGAAGAGTTCCCAGGTCTGTTTCAACATCCACATCCTTGTTCACTTCGATCGATTTACGCGAATCCTTCTCCTGCGTTTTATTTTCCAAAACTGACTGTACGATATCCATACTGTCAAATATGTATTTACCTAAATAATTCACAGAAATTAATTTTAAATTAACTGTCACTTATATTACAAGCTTTTTCTATGTCAATAGCGAATCCTTTAATTTCAAATAAAATCATATAATGAATATAAATATAGAAACTTTAAGTTTGTGTATTACTTTTCGCTTGTCGTCAGACTGTACTCTTAAAACACGTGCAGTTGTGTTTGGTTATGGTTATGTTGACCAATGTTGACATGAAGGCGGTCTTCTTTGATACACATGATATGAAGGTTCGCAAGATTTTTGACGAAAATAAATCCACAGAAGGATAATATAATTTTATATATTTATTGAAGCAATAATCGAATAGTAAAGATTGTTGTTTATCTAAACATCGAATTATTTTGTGAGATTACATATACATATCGTGAAAATGTTTGTTCTCGCGGAATTGAAAGACACGGTTAGAATCCCACCGTGGAAATTTAAGCGGAAATTAAACGATGCGATTACTGATGAACTTAATAGAAAACTTGCCAACAAGGTAAGAGATACTATAATTCAAATAACTTTGATAAAAATAATCGAAATCAATTTGAAATTGCATGTTTAAGGTTTATCTTAATGTGGGTCTCTGCATTGCTCTTCATGATATCACGAAGATTGAGGAATCATACATCTTTCCCGGAGATGGAGCATCTCATACTAAAGTAATATTTCGTTTTATTGTATTTCGTCCGTTTATGGAAGAAATTTTGATAGGGAAAATACGTAGCTGCAGTGTTGACGGCGTACACGGTATGTTTATACAGCATTGCTATGATTATAATTATTATTTCATGGATTTCCTGGATAATAAAAACAGTTATACGGTCTTTTGTAGTAACATTAGGATTCTTTGAAGATATTGTAATTCCGCCTCATAAACTGCAACATCCATCGAGATTTGACCAAATGGAGCAAGCATGGGTATGGGAGTATGATACAGGCGATGGCGAAAAACATGACTTATTTATGGATGCAGGTACGCCAATGAATATTTGAAATTAATCAACGTAAGCATCAAATATTAATGAGTGCATTAGTTTAATAACAGTCTAAATACTTTAGGAGAAATTATACGATTCAGGGTAGTAGGTGAAACGTTCACGGAAGCTTTACCTACTGGACCAAATGTATCCGGAGAATCTGTAGAAAAACCAGAAGCTAAAAATATATCTCCGTATACTTTAGGGGTACGTGTAATTAATAATTACTGGAACATCTATCGAAACATCCTCTCAAAATGATATTAACTTTGCTATTTTCATTATAATCGCAGGGTGCTATAGACGAGCCAGGACTCGGATTGCTCACATGGTGGGAGAACACTTAACACTGTGAGAATAAATTTGGATCAATAAATTTTTATTTCACAGCACATTCCATCATGTTATCACGTTTTAATGTTACATCCGTGATCGGCGCCATGCGCGACCCGATTTCAGATAGAATCTTCACTGTGCGGATATATCCATATTTAGTTTCCATTGGTAACAGAATTATTAATTATCATTTGTACAATATATACAAAGACGTTGTGTGCTAAATATGTGGTAACACGCAAAAAATAATTTCAGTTCGGTAAAATTCGAGGTCATGCTAAACATTACACAGAAGTTATTCGGTGGTAAAAGTCTCAACATAAAGAACATCGCATAGTCAGTATTCGTTTGACTGCAACAGTGGCGTGAAATCTTTCACATCGTTACGTGCTGATGGAGCATAGTTACGACAAATTTCGTATAGCTTCTTCTTCTTTTTTTCTTTAAGTAACCGTCGAAACCGTTTAACAGTATTAAACACATAAAATACGTTTTTCTATATTGCGGTATATCGTTACATTGAATGAAAAACATTCGAGAACTTAGCTAGGTGTAAGCCTTAAATTTAGGAAACATTAATTACATGACAGTGGAATATACGTAGATAAAATAGAACTGAAAACATTTCTAGACGATAGATACATGTGCAATGATCGTTTTTTGGTTGTTCTTTTTTTTCATTTTTAATTTTTATACTTCAGCAACACGTGTCGTCGAACATCACGCGAATCGTGTTTTGTAAATAAATAAAAGTCTCCGTTATAAGACTCGTCGGAATGTTTCTGCGCTTTTTCTTAAATATTCTTTTCGCTGGTGAAACTGTCGCCTTCTAAATAGCTCGATTAGTCTTTCTTTTTTTTTTCTTTTATATGCTCTTCATGCACCGCGACTAACGCATTGGAATCGCGGTCTTTTTAAACGGCCTTACAAGCGGGATGAACAACAGTCTAAACACATCCGGAGTAAAATAGTACACGTACAATAAAAATCCAAGTTCTAACTGCTTTGAATCTGACGGTACCGTCTCATCGGACTTCCTCTACGTTCTTCAGCGAGAACCTACAATATTAACTGTCACCTTTTTTTTGTTTTCTCTATCATCAAAGCGACGCGTGAAACTCTGAACATTGTTTTATCAATTGTACACGTTCCTTTACTATTTCGTTTCTCTGTGGATTTTGTCGATCCTCCCACAAATGAAAACACGACGACCAGCCGTGTGTTCTCGAAACACGGGACACTACCTAGCGGCTCGAAACACGAAAAAGTACGACAGACTTCTCGAGCGATTCAACGTGATATTAATTAAAAATTACCCTGACCAAGGACAGATGTATTGCGTTCCAATCGGTGATTCTTGTAGATTTTCGTGCGTTACATACGAACATGGAACCCCCGGTTCTCATCATTACAATTAATTCTTGAGACATTTAATATTGAGAGAACATTCATTCTCATCTTTAAAACGTTCTTACAAGTAAATTGATTCAAGTACGTATGTCTGTTACAGTTATGTTGAAAGCTCCGAGGCAAAATCTCTCTTGGAATTGAATTTCGTGCTAGTATTGGTCGCATAAAAATGTCAAAGAATTGGGATACATATAGAAAAATGAAAAATTTTATGGACTATTTGTATCTCGATGCGAAGATGGGAGGAGACCCAACAATATTACCTCGTATTCTTAAACAGTCTCGAGCGGTCAAAGATAAAATATTGCTTAAGAACAACAATGTTTAGTTCCGTTCAGGGGTCTTAATGTATGCAACAAAGGACCAGCAAACGCTTCTTCATCGGAATCGCGTTTCTTCATGTTTCAGTCCACTGTGTACCGGCCACAATCGCAGAGTCTAGCGTGAACAGAAGGGGTGCGATTCATACAGGAGCTTCGGTGTATTAAAAATGCCTATATGCGCTATTTAGTATCGTCATCGTTTACTTTACACGTTTAAGGGCTAGTGTTTCTCATNGTTACATACGAACATGGAACCCCCGGTTCTCATCATTACAATTAATTCTTGAGACATTTAATATTGAGAGAACATTCATTCTCATCTTTAAAACGTTCTTACAAGTAAATTGATTCAAGTACGTATGTCTGTTACAGTTATGTTGAAAGCTCCGAGGCAAAATCTCTCTTGGAATTGAATTTCGTGCTAGTATTGGTCGCATAAAAATGTCAAAGAATTGGGATACATATAGAAAAATGAAAAATTTTATGGACTATTTGTATCTCGATGCGAAGATGGGAGGAGACCCAACAATATTACCTCGTATTCTTAAACAGTCTCGAGCGGTCAAAGATAAAATATTGCTTAAGAACAACAATGTTTAGTTCCGTTCAGGGGTCTTAATGTATGCAACAAAGGACCAGCAAACGCTTCTTCATCGGAATCGCGTTTCTTCATGTTTCAGTCCACTGTGTACCGGCCACAATCGCAGAGTCTAGCGTGAACAGAAGGGGTGCGATTCATACAGGAGCTTCGGTGTATTAAAAATGCCTATATGCGCTATTTAGTATCGTCATCGTTTACTTTACACGTTTAAGGGCTAGTGTTTCTCATTTTTTTTTTTTTGCCTTTCTCGTTTTCTCCTCTTTTTTTTCTTGTTTCATTTATAGATCGTTACACAAGAGAAACAAAACACAGTGTATTTAGTTTGCGTTTGGACGTCAATTGCTTTTCTCTATTCCCACGGTGACGCGGTCCTTTCTCAGTCGTCGTTTGCCCATTGTCTTTCTATAGTATTGCTTTACGTGAGACATTTGTCTTTTCTCTCGCACAGATCTTTTTCCGTATTCGTTTCCACCTTTTCATATGTTTGTTCTGTATGAGGAACACAAACTCCGCCGTGCTGTGTTTCTCGTACGCGGAATCGCGCGTGTCGTTGAGACGCGAAGAAAATCTTCTAGGAGGCGTTCCCTGCCTCTCATCGGTCGCGAACGAGTCTACTCGATGATTAGGCAGCGCGGCAGGTGTTCACGTAAATAGTTGAATAATTCCTGAGACGTTCCTGGACAGTTGGTTAGTTCGAGCTCGTGCAAATGCCGCAGCTGTATCAGCCTGGACAGTTCGCCGCTCGTGAGCAATGGACAGCCTGGAAAAAACGAATGTTCTTCACTGAGGAGAAAAGCATGGGCGCTAACTTAATTACAAAAAAATGTTCAATAATAGTTGGTACGCGGATTCTGTTGCAAAACGCGAACCATTTTTGATCCCCTTTAACCCTTAGCGCTCCGTTGGCTCCGCTATGGAGAGACATACGTCATTTGTTCCATAAATCCGAAGGCTCTGCTGCGGAGCCCAATGTTTTTAGCACGATTACACCGAAGATGCTATGTTTTCGTCGACGTTGGCAATTGTTATTTGTAGCGAAAACGTGCTTAGCGTGTGTACCATTACGATTAAAATATTTTTTGCCCATTTTTATGCTTAGCAACGTAAAATGAATAAAATCGAACGCTTTCGCAAGGACGTGTAATTTTTCCCGCTCAAAATAAGACTTCCTTTACCTCGGGCGCTTTGCTTCAAAAATGTGCCGGAGTTGCTGGCAGTGATATTTTTCCGAAAAACGCTGTTCAACTTTATTTTAGAACGTCCGAAGAATATTTACTAATTTTTAATTCAATTTAATTATTAATCGAGCCGATTCCAGGGAAGATTAACGATAAAAAATTTCCGGCAAACTCACGCAAAAGATATTTTTGTTTCAATAATTCCGTATCCGAACAGAATTCAACGGACGATTCGCGATTTTATAATAAATCGCGTCAAAGAACACGAGGGATATATTTATTTAAGAATTGCGAAGAATATCGTTGATAGTAAATTTACCCATTTCGATGAGGATGCATTTGTTCCTTGGTAGTACTCGAGAAACGCGTGGAGCGCTAAGGGTTAAATTTTCGATATACATATTTTTACACAAGGATCATCTTGTCGTCTGTCACAAATCCTTCTGCGCCACCTTTTAAACTTCGATCAACATATAGGACAAGACCTACCTGCCAAGGAGAGTACTTGTAAGGATTTCATGCCGCACAAGTGCTGAAGACTCAAGTCTTTAAGTTGCGAGCACCATCTCAAGAACAGTGCGCTCAGTGATACCATTGTGGAGATGTAGCCCACGCCAATGTCCGTGATGTGCACACATCTACGCAGACAGAACATTCTTTATATAACATACTCATTTTGTTTTCCACATAGTTTTGCCTATCTATATACTACTTCTATTAACAAAAGAACCTTGCATATTTCGATCGCCGTATTACATATTATTATACATATTATGTACATACATATTATATTAATAATATCTAAAAATAAAAAAAAATCTATTATAATCTATTATAAAAAATAATAAATAATCTATTATATTATATTAATATATGTATTTAATATATTATATTATATGCCGTATTACATATTCACTTTTAATTTGCTGCTTCCGTCAACATGTAATTACTATCATCAGCTTCCTACCGCGTGATCCAAAACAACTGCATCTCTAAATTTTTCCATTTTCAAATCTCCCCCCTCCCCCTCCCCCGGTTTCTGATGTCGAGAATCTGGCAAGTCGCGAGCGCCGATTCATCATTTCGAACGCGTCCGTCTCGTAGCACCGTGAAAAGTTTGACCGTCAAATTCCAGTCTTTATAGCACTTGCAGTTTACTAATCGTTCCGCGACCGCAGCGCCATTAACGTCTCACTCCGAGACAAATTGGCACGGTTTATTCGGCGACAATGTGTCACACGGTCGACAAGTTAGCCGATCAGGACCGGTTCCAACGTGTTCGGGAGTACCGTATATCATCGACGTCGAGCACTCAATCGGTCGCCCGAGCAGATTATAAGTCTGTCTCCTTAGGCGTCTCGAGGAGCTTCGCAAGGTGAATCACACTGATTACGTAACGACCGATCCTAAATAGAATGCTCGTTAGCGCGGCCAGTATTTGGACCATGAATGAAGCGATCGAGCGGATCGTACGGTTTCCACTGTGGCAAAAGCCTGTCCGGCTGATCCAGATTTATTAAACCGATTGGAATCTTCGTCCGAACATTTTGGAACGCCGTTTGACGGTTTCCGCAACTCGATGCAAGCATGCGATACAACTCGGAATAAATTTTATCGTTCCCTTTGAATTCGCGATGTTCATTGTTCCTGCCTCTTGTGCCAGACGCCAGATTTTTTTTTTCATAGTTATCGATGATCGCGCGTGGGGCAAAGCAATTAATAGAAGTAAGCAATAATGAAAGGTAATAAAAAGTAAGTAATTAACACTATGCCATCCGGTGGCATGCAAAAACTATCCGTTGTATGCCGGTGGTACCACTTTAGTGGCATTTTAAAAAACTGAAATAATATTTGAACTATATTTCTTGGGCGTTAGAAGGCGGCAAACTAACTATAGCATTGTGCTTATTAATAATAATATAAAATAATAATAATATAAAATTAATAATAATATAAAATTCTTGGATGACGTATCTTAATTTTAGGAATTTATATTACCGCCATCTTCGAAATTTTTTTTTTAAATCTAACATTTCCAAGCTATTATGCCGGCGTCAAACAAAAGAATATCTATCTCTAAATATATATAATAATAATATTATATATATTTATAAATATATATAATAATAATAATATATTATATAATCATATATTAACATATAATATAATATAATATATAATAATATATATTATATAATATATTATATAATAATAATATATTATAAATATATATAATATCTCTAAAATATCATATCTAAGATCTGCGGACGGTATGGTGTTAATAACAACAAGTAGGTAATAATAAAAAAGTAATCCTATGTAAGTGATTAATAATAAATTAAGTAATAATAAAAAGTAATAAAGTAAGCGTAGAATAAAATTTTGCGCACAGAATAGAAATTTGTCAGTATGTCTCGGTTCCCACTTAGTCCAATCGAAGAAGCGTTCTTCCGCTTTCTGCGATTCCACGAGATGAAATAAGTCGAAGGAATGAAATCGTAACTGATAATTTGATTGCAGCGGACACGTTACTTTCGTCGAAGAGAAAAGGGATCAACTCGATTAAATGTCTGCACACCGTTTTTTTCTTTCCTGATCGGCTCTCACCTGTCCAACGTAAGCTCCTCCAAGTGATTCAAATCACAGGCAATATATTCTAAGGCTGCGTCAGTAATCCTTGAGCACCAACTCAGATCTAAGGAACGAAGTCTTGGCAAGTTCTCCGCGATCAGCTCGACACCGTCGTCCGTTACTTTGCTGCACCCCGACAGCGACAACACTGTCAGATTCGGCAAGGAATGCACTGGAACAGAGAAAGAATTGCCACTATTATTACGCGAGTTTTTCATGCTTTGCGGCGACTCTGTTTACATCGGCGACTCTGTTTACAAAAGATTTCGCTCGTAACTGCGTTCGATTCGTTGGTCAACACTAAACCAACCGACCTGTAATGACGACCAGCGTGCATTGAAATATATAGGAGTGAAAAGATAGAATTCATTTGGATTTTGTAAAGTTTCAATTATGGGACTTGTTTCAATAATATTATTTTGTTCAATCATTTCCCACGAAAAAGTCTCCAAAGTTCGTGGCATAAATATATATATATATTGTAATATATAAATATTATATATATATATATATATATATATATATATATTATAAATATAATATTGTATAATATTGTATATATATATATATATTATAAATATAATATTGTATAATATTGTATATATATATATATATTATAAATATAATATTGTATAATATTGTATATATACTATATATATACTATATATATTGTATTATATATAATAATATATAATAATATATACAATATTATATATAATATTGTAAATATATAAATATACATATATCGTGGCATAAAAAATCGGTCATTTTAACCGTGGTAGGTTTAGCGTTAAACGAATTGGGATGGCTCCGGATTGTCGCGGACGTTGACTGTACACACGAAATGTATAACAGCGCTCGATTAACTTTTCTATTTTGATTTTGATAGTCCGCCGGCTATGCCAATCATGCGTGACTGACATAATATCCTAGTCTCAAGCTAAAAATAAGATCCGCACAACTAGAAGAAAGCTAGAATAATTAACAATATCAACAATCCACGGAATTTACGTTCCGTCGGACGGACTGTTTTACACGCGATACGGAAAATCTCGTTAAACGCGACAATAGAAAACGTCCGAACTATGGAAAATTCAGAGTTGTACGACAACGGAGTCGCATCGTGATCCGAAGTCCAGCGACACGATCGAGACCGTTACGAACCGCGTTCCGCCGGTGGCCACGTATTTACGCGTATCAAGTTTCATGAAAATCTTTTCGCCGTATAAATAACGTTCAACCGGTCGTTGACCACCCACTCGGCCAGGAAACGAAGTCTGAAGTATCGCCGACGTCCAGATAGCTAAATAAAGCCGTGTTCCTTAATTCTAAATTTACAATGACCGGACGCGTCCGACACCTGGCTTAATTTCACGCCATCATCGCCACAGTATTTCCACCTGGACCAGCGGCGTAGGAGCGCGTTGACGCAATTGTCTCGTTCGCGCGGGACTTTGCGTAACGTCCGACGTGTCCTCTCGCGTTAGCACGCTAACTCCCGCGGCGATGTAAACGATTCGGCAAACAATTTCGCGTCCGCCGATCTCGCGGAACGTCTATTTAAATCCGCACGCTGATAAACCGATAAAAATAATATGAATAAATAATAATTATTGAAAAATAAATTAAAATTAAAAAATAAATAATAAAAAATAAATAATGATATAAATAAACCGATTTGAAAATATCGCCGATTGCCGGATAACGCGTCCGATAGCTTTTCTTAGCCAAAAGACAAGCGAATTAACACGTTCAGCGCCACGTCGGTCAAATATACAATACAAATATATTATATATTATTATATATTTATAATAACATAAATATATAATATAATATAATAATATAAATATAATATAAATATATAATATTACCCTAATTTTTGACCACAATTGAAAATTCATTTTCACTTGGTAATATATTCGAACAAACTGAATTTCACTAGAATGTATCGGATGCGAAGGAGTTCTAATATCATCTGCTATGATGAATTTTAACTTTCTAGTTTCGGTTTGATTAATTAAAACGCTTTGATTTTTGTAGTAATATTTTAATGGCCGATTGTGGGCACCGAATGTGTTAAACAGCCGTGATTCGTGAATAATAAATTGCCAGGCTTCGTTGCACATGTCAGCCCGAAGAATAAATAGAAAAATTTATCCTCGAATAAAAAGGCTCGCCCTATTTATATGTTTATTAAAGAATTCTCTGTCTGTGTGGTTTATTATCACGAATAAAACTCGCTGGTTTTCGCCTAAATTTCATTATCGTCGCATTCTATTGGGTTGTCCGGAAAGTTCGTGCCGATTTTCGGTAGGTAGCGTGAGAGACCTGACTGAATATATCGCAACTATTGAAAACAAATGACATGTGTACATATTCTAAAAGAGATAACTTCAGCCATATTTGGAAAAAAGTTTGGTTACGATTCGTTAATTTTTATCAGTTTTGTACGCCTTCGAATATGGTGGCAAATAAAGTGCATTATATGCATTTAATGCTTTTATTTTTCCGAAAGGGCAAAAATGCCACACAAGCGGCAAATAAGATATGCGCTGTTTATGGCGAGGATGCCGTAGCCGAAAGAACTGTGCGGAAGTGGTTTGCTCGGTTTAAAGCTGGAAGTTTCGACCTTGAAGATCAAGGACGACAAATTTTTTGCCAAAAAACCTGAGGGGTTCTGGAAGGACGGAATTCTCTCAAGCTGCATGAAAGATGGAGAAAGGTTGTGGAACAGAATGGTACCTATATAATTTAATAAATGTATACCAATATTTATAAATGAGCTGCGTTTTAATTTTCCTAAAAAATCGGCACGAAC